CTAAAGACCAGAGTGATCATTGAAATGACGTTCACAGTTTTAGTAATCAGTTTTGTAAACTGCGTTCATCTTATCTTTCTTCGGTAATACATCATTCAGTTTATCAGAATATCCTGTAGGAATTTCGATGGTGTGTATGTGCTATGGTGATGTTGAATGTTCAAAGTAGTCGGTCGAAATGATGGTAAGTTTTTTATATTTGTCAAAATGATTCATCATGGTGGAGAATATTTTTAGTTCAAGGTATGTATTTTCAGATTGAGTTATTCTCAGAGATATGATTTTAGTCGACAACCACTTCAATGTCATGTTAGACACCATCATGAGTACATTTATACACCTCAATCTGAACAAAGTGACTCATTTTGTGGGTTCAGTGTCCCATTGAAAGGGATTTCTAGGCGTTTTCGATTAGGCATTGAAAGAAAATGGCGAAGTAGGTTGAACAAGATTAATTTTACTACTGCCAAAAGAAGTAAATTCCTCTTCTATTCACTTTGGACAGCAGTTTGTTCGAAACGAACTGACTGGGTGGTCAGAAATTATCAAAGCCCAACTTTTAGTCCCTACAGAAAGTTTTCTGATCTTTTATTCATTTTCAGGCTGATAAAAAAAGGAAGAATATCGAATTGCCTGCTATCATCGCCTTTCATCTTGATAACAGTTTACAGATATCGCTAACAGTACCAAGTACTTTGATCTTTTGATGTACATCTCTCAAGATATTACAGATTCTACTGATGTAGTTCATTCGATATAAGTCTAGTCCCAATTATTCAGTATCAACGTATGATCTGGCATTATTACGTAGTGGTACGCGTTGCCACTCACGTCATCACATGCAAAGCCAACAATAGAGAAATAGGAAAGCGTAATGTAATTAAGAGTCGTATAGTCGTAAGAGAGGAGTAGAGATCACAACACAAAACGAAATAAAATATGATGATTAGGGTGAAGATAGTGCAGGGATTCATCCATATCAAACAAGAGATCAGTCATGAAATATGCCACCTATCGTCTCCGACCACCAATTTCAGTTGGCATACATACACCGACCTGGAAGTCTGCAATTTCCTTTACAGCAAATAACCAACAGTCAGAGACAACACGGACTAGTAGCACGTTTCAGTCTAGTTGCCTCCAATCTTTTTCTAGTCTAAACCCGATTCGACTAAAATTATAATCAAGTTAAGGAAAACTTGGGAATGATGGAGGAAAAACAGCATAGTTTACATGCAAAAGTTACGAATATAAAATGATTCAGTTGGATTTTCGTAATCGAGGTTTGCGTAGTAGCAGGAAAGTCCGGCCAATGCACATTGTCTGTGTATGGGTTGTGATGCTGTCCGGAGGTTTAGATGAAAGCAAGTTGTGATCTTCAAAAACTAATCCTTCAGCTTTTGACTTGAGGTATGATCCACAAAGCAGCGAAGGAATGTGAGGTGCTGCATCCCCATAGATCCTGATCACCGAGGTAGATGACAATTAGTCGGTTACAGATATTCTAACACGTGCGCTGCTAGTTTGGAATGTGGATTTACTTACTCCTCTAAGTGAACCTTGTATCCACCAGTTCGGCTGTAACTCCGGACATCCTCTTTTATGAAAGCATTTTTCGCCAAATGAAGGCAGCGAGAAGAACTTCCCTGGTAGATGCTACGATCTTAACTTACACCGATGAATGGTTAATAAAGGAAATATATTTGTAAAGTCCCAACGTCGCCGCTTATTACTCAAACATGTGGTAACTTGTTCAGGTATTGTTACCAAAAGAAGCACAAGGTCGCAATATGTCAGAAATTTATTTTTCCACTTCACTAGGATTTTACAAATATACTTCCTTCATAAATCACTAAACCCGATGCCTAACTCATTCAATTCTATCAGGTCAAAATTTGATTTTGAAGTCTAAAACGCAAATAATTGGTCTGAACATCTTTATTTCATTTGAAATGCAATGAAACTGGTTTTCAACGCCTGACAAGTATGGTTACACGGAGGCCTGTGAGTGAAAAAAAGAACTACCCTGGATATCATGACTTCTTCAGTTACTGAATCATCTCAACAACTTCAAAGTATTTCCTACCAGTCTTTACAAAATTTTTGTTAAAAAACAACAGATTCTGTGAACTAATCACCCATATCACATGAGATAAACAGAATATTCAGGCTGTGGATCAGATAATTCAGGTCTGAGACAAAGAAGCATTCTAACTTCCCGACATTTCAACGCCTCAAAAGAAATTCAAAATCGAACTGACGTAATCACCCTCAAACCAGACAAGCGGTCAGGTGTGGTCGTGATGAACAAACTTGGTTACTAAAGCAAGATGATATCCATCCTCAATGGTGAAAATAAATTTATGGCTGATGTTCTACCTGAAGGTATTGGAAAATTGGAATTATGATTTGAGTATCTAAGATAGCCTTAGTTTCAGAGACTAGTACTTGTACTGGGTGATGACTTAAGGTGAGATGGAAATCTGGACTGCGGCCGGATTCGAATCTTGAAGCCAGCCAGCTAGTTCCGGTCGTGATTTTGAATGCAGAACATTTCTCAGTCTCTCCAGGATTATGTGGCATAATATTTTGCTTGGGGTAGACAGGAGTATGATTCTTCGCCAATTCTTGCAGAGACTCAGGTTGCCCACCCTTCTTTGGGAGTTTAACAAGGTAGTGCTTCTCCCAGTCAGTAGACAGGTACTTTCCCTTCCTTACTTGCAAACCTACTGCAATAGTTATGTGGTGTGATCATGTCCGCTGCTGATGTCTCAGTGTCTGTTTTTCAGTGCTTCCGGAGGAATTCCATCTGGTCTTGCCGCTTTCCCAGATTTCAGCAACTTTATGGCATGGCTTTCAGGACTTCACTTCGGCAGTTGTCGGAGGGCTTGTGTTCACTAATAGTTCTGTGGCTGGATTGCTGGTGGTATTTCTGAGGGAGTTGGAGGTGTTGGTGGTCGATTCAAGAGTTTTTTTGAAGTGGTCAGACCATCGTCTCCTTTGTTTCTCCTCATTGGTGGTAACTAGGTTTCCTTCACTATCTCTCATTGGTTTCATCTGCGTTGATGTCTTCCCTACCAGATAGTAACCTGGTTATTTGATATAATGTTGTCATGTCTCTATCTCTCTTGCCTGCAGTCTGTTCTGCTTCACTTGCAAGTGTGTTGTAGAAGTGTCTTTTATCTTTCCGTGTACTCTTCTCCACTTCTTTGTCCAGTGTAGTGTTTTATAGGTTGTACTCAGTTCCTCTTTTCGTTGTTCACCCGTGCACTGCACTTCACTGCACTGGTTCATCTTCTGCTTCACCATCTTCTTCTCGCTGCTCTATCAGCTTCCATTTGTTTGTGGAGATCCATTCAATTGTCTTGTCCTTGTCCTCTTCCTTACTAACACGGTTGTGCAGGTTTTCTTCCGCGTCTCTTTCAAAGAGTTTCAGTGTTCTTCCACTCATGTTTACTCGGGGCACCCGAATTCATAAACGGGATTAATTATTTCCAACGAATTTTAAGAGGAATTATCATACGTTCATACTCCATGGGAGATAAGCAGTCGATAACAAACAGAGGAGGAGCACTACAACTTGTATTTGCAGATATCATTTTCAATTCCAGTTATTCAAAGAATTTCATATTCATCGTACTAGTCAGACTAAATGTAAATCTATTGTCGCAGAATACGTGAATTTCTTGGTTTATTGCATACAATAGATTTTTTTTTCTTCTTTATGTTAAGGCTTTATTACAGGTGTTTTTAAACTGCTGAGATTGTGAGGAGAAATTTAAGATTTGATAAAACTTCTTGGTTTTGACTAGCAGAAGAATCCAGGATGTGCATTTCGTCCTATTTTGGGGCTCGCCAGCAGGATGTACCTGCACCCTGCTGAGTGATGTTGTTCCCAATGAGACTCAAACCTATCAATTCAAGCGCTAAGACGTTATCCACTAACCTACTTAGCATGTTAGCCACCTTTTGTACAATGGGTATTAGTTACAAGTATATCAACAAATGGTAATTTGAAAAATCGTTCGAAAACTGAAGAGATAGTATCCATTGATAAGTTGAAGAAGAATATACAACACCTCATTTTGAAAATAACTCTGCCAAGGATTTAGCATATTATATGTTTTTATTGGTAGTTTAATAGCAATTTTTATTGGTTACCATTATGTCCCAGATACAGGAAGCTAACAAAACATTAGCCATATTATAATTGTGATACAGACGATAGTTACCTACAGCTTTAAGTATTCTAGAACGCATACTTACTGAAATGTATAATCCATTTGTGAGATAAGCCTTTTACACTTTAGTTATTACGCATACTCAATATAAGCTGAAATTAAATATACAATAAAATGAGTGGAATAAAACAGCAAAACTTTGCAAAGAAATACGTTAGTGCAGAACAGCGAATGCAAAAACGGGGGCGGGGGGGGGTACAAGGTTTCTGAAGAACTAAGAAGGTAAAGTTAGTTCCTGGGAACAATACAATGGTCATGGTGTCTTGCTCTCAAATCAATATGCTGAATAGTATAAAACACTTCAACTGTTTGCTTTTTCTAATGTAAGCAGTAGTCGACAGAGACAAACAATTATAACAGAATTCCGTTTCTATATAAATTGAAATGATGATGATGGGATATTTCAGTCATTCAAAGGGAGATAATTAACATTCAATTAAGAAGTTTAATATGGAATAATTAACATCTAAACTAGCATAGCATGAAAATCTGTTATCGAAGCTTTTTAAAGAAGAAAAAGACATTGTTGTCGATTGAAACAGAGAATTCCAATACATTTAAAATCATAAAAGTCAGAGGTAAACACAAAAATAAACTGACCAACGTTTTCATTACATCCATAGAGTTCCTTCAGCCTAGCTAGCTACACTAATTTCATTCAGAATAACTTCTAATAATAAAACATATAAGTGGAGATAATTACAAAAATATAACAAAAAGGGCATTAAAAAGATTTTCAGTACACTAAAATGTATTATTCTAAACATCGGTAAACTTTATGTTACTATCTAAAACACTTGAGTATGGGTGGATATTTGTCAGTTCTAGTGTTTGTTGTATGCTCCAAATGGCTAATGCACGCATATATCCAGGGCAACGAAAACGTCCATCAGTCATGTAGGCTTCAGGTGTTTGAAAATGTAGTCCACAGAGATTATAAATTGTGTTGTAACATCTTTCGGCAAGAGCAAATCCTTCGTCAATCATCCCCTAGTAAGGAAAAAACAGAAATCCAGGAGTAACACCGTCACATAGAAGTCACTATTTGTGTTTATAATAAAGTGACACTTCCTGTTGATGAAAAAATTTCCGAAATATGATCTTTAAAAAACAGTTCTCCTTAACTTTATCACTGCTTGTAAAAAAAGTAACGACTTTGCAGAATAAACAATGATGTGAATACAAGAAAAATGAGGATTATCTAGCATATTAAAATTCCAAAATAAAGTTTATTTGTGTAAGATCTCATGGAGAGTTGTCATCTGAATTGACGACAATTAATGGCATCCTCCAGGAATGCTCACAGTCACCTTTCCTACTTAACTTCGATATAGATGTACTAATGGACATAACTTTAGATACGTTGTGGGGATTTATCTACTCATCACTGAAGGTCATCCACTTGACTTGCAGTACGCAGATGATATTGTCCTGCCAGCTGAAGTTGCTGACAAAATGCCGCGTCTTCTGAATGCGTTAAGCAGAAATCTGAGTGTTTGGCATGAGCGTCGCATCTGTTAAATGTAAGATGATGCTCAAGGACTGGTCTCCGACTACTCCCAGTTTAATGATAAGGAGTGATGTAGCTGAATGTGTCAACCACTTCACCTACTTGGGGACTTGCTTCAGTTAGAATGGGTTGGCTGCTGACGAAAACTCAACTCGTATACAGAAAGTCCGTTTCGCATCATCCGTGGCGCCGACTGGAGAGATATGTATCTATCAAAGGATGAGAATACTGCAGTCCGTTCTATCCTGTTGTATGGCTGTGAGACATGAACGTTAAAAGTAGAAGATATTAAGCGGTTACCGGGTTTTGATCAGGGGTGTCTTCGCAGCATTGCCTGCGTTTGGTTGAATCATCATACAAGCGCTACTGAGGTCAGGCGAAGGGAACGAGATAAATCGATTGATGAAGTTGTGAAACTTGATAGGCTGAGATGACTTGGAGATGTGTTGAAAATGCTGAGTCACCGCCTACCTCGACGTGACATGCTCGAAGAAGTTAGATAAGATTGAAAGAGGGATCAGGGTGATAAGACCAAGAAGTGGTACCAATGAATGAAGTATCTGATTGTTAGTGTGAGCCGTGTAAGATCTGGACTTCTCGGTTGGGGTTCCTGAGACAACAGAAATCAGTGGTCAAAGACTCTTGGTGTAACGGTTGAAAATTGGTCACAATGGCGCAGATACACCCACTCCTTAACGTTTTCTAAAGATTGGACATTTGCACTAACCTTTATCTATTTTGATATTAGTCTTTCTACCGGCTTGTTTTTTGCATGCTACTGTAGCAACTTGAACAGATGCACTTGTGTGCTAGGTTCTACGTTGATTTGTATAGTCTGTCTTATTTGTACACATTTATTAGAAAAAAGCAAAAGGTTCGCTGTGATAATTTGGAATTACTCCAAAGACAATTCAAAGCAACTACTGAAATAACCAATAAGATGTCTTTATTTCATGTGAAAACTATCTTTGCAGATGGATTAAAGAGACCTAACTGGTTGTTTCAGCGGTTACTAGGGTTGCTTTTAGAATCACTCATGATTTGTAATTATTACGACAAACGGTTAACACAACTTAAAAGTTCATGAATGTTGTGATGATGCTTGTAATTCTCTGATGCTATACAGGGCCGAATTGCTCGACCTCTGCTAGCAGATAGGCTCCTATGCGGATGCCTCGATACTGCGGGATATTCATGATATTTTATGTTGATCTCGGTGACCAGCATAGGAATCCAGAATGCGCACTTCGTCATATTTGCGACTCGTCAGCTGGATGTAACTGCAGCTCAGTGAGCAATTTTGTTCCCACTGAAGCTCGAACCCAAAACAATATAACATCATGAATATCCGGCTGTATCAAGGCATCCATATAGAAGCCCATCCGCCAACAGAGGTCAGGAAATTCGGCCTTGTATAGTAACAGGAACTTACAAGTATCAATATAAAACAACTGATACTCGTTGCAAGACAGGTGGCTATCGTGCCCCACTGGCTTAGTAGATAACGCTTTGGAGTTTGAAGCGAAGGGTACTGCGTTCGAGCCTCAGTGGGAAAAACATCACTCACTGGGGTACAGGTACATCTAGCTGACGAGTCCCACGTAGGACAAAACGCATGTCTTGGATTCCTCTGCTAGTCACCACGGTCAACATAACCAATATACACACAAACATATGAGTTAACTGAGTGCGTCATCCAAAGTTTGTTAGTTGCTCTTTTACATATGACTGATTTAACTAATGCTCTTGTAATTGAATTGTCTTAATTCAGTACACCATTGTGGGTGGTTCGCCTAAAGCAGTCTTGAATGTCGTATCAGTAAATACAAATCAGTGTTAATAGTAAATTACAAAGCCCAATCAATGGTCAGTATTGAAATTAGTTTATAGTTCGGCTTCAAAATAATACAATTACAATTAAATAATTGGTGTACTTCTTACCTCAGCAATCATCAGAGCAGCAAGTGAGTAGTTTACGCCAACCCAAAATTCTTCAGCTTGAACATTACTGGTATCACGTTTTGAATCTAGAAGACAGCCGTTTATCGCTCCTAAAACACCATTTTTTACACCATGCCAGTTACAATCAGAAATTGTTTGTAGACTTTTTATAACATGATATCTGGGTAAAATCTAAAATAAACAAGTAAACAGAAATAGCGTATTACAACGGTAAATAAACCGAATGACAGAAACAACTGAAAACTATAACTCCGACACTGTTACGCGAATGTGACTCCAAAAGCTTAATTGTCTAAATAGCGTTGCCCTTCCAACGTCCTTTTCATACACATTAATGACCGTCTGAACTGCATGTAAGACGAGGCATTTGCAGCTCGTTAACTAGATGATGCTAACCATTTTCCCTCTGAGTTGTGCATTTATCCAACTGAATAGTATGTCCAAATCGTAACCTAATTAACTTACATAAATGAAATAACTCACATCATATATACATTGGAAACAACGGAACAATATACAATAATCACTTATCTTCAACAATCAGTTATTTTAGTTTGATAAATCATTCGCAAATAAATAAGGAGTCTATACAAAACTCTTGAGCTGAGCTGTACAGTAATACAATTTAATTAATCTTAAGTAAAATGTCTTGAGAAATAACTAAAGTAGTACAACAAATAACACTTGTCTAAAATTGCTATTTTTGCTTCATCAATAGGTTACAAAAAGATCATATTTCAAGTGAAATTCGACCTTGTAACCCGACTGTTTTTGTGTTATAGAATGACAAAGATGGCCAATCTGCAGTAGGTTCACGGATTTCAGAGATATTCCACTGAAAATTAGCACGGTGAAAATAAATACCTAATGTAACCAACCTCTTCAATCCTTTAAACTCGAACAACCAATCATTCAAATAAGTTTAGAATTGAAATGTTAATTTTAAACCTTAAGGAGAAAGAATTTGAAAAACGAAGAGTGAAACAGTAGTTAGAATGATTTACAGCGCTAAATAGCTTGAAATTTTGCTATGTCTTTTATCTGACGGTTGCTATGACCGGTAATGCGACCTAGCAGTATACGAACAATACGAACCTAACGTGCAAACGAATCTATTCCAGGTGCTAGTCAAACGTCAACCATCACAACAACAATACCACCGACACTCGAAGACAAGAATAGATGGACCATTGATGGAGGGCTTTTACTGTTTCAATAACAGTCATAACAGTTGAGAGTTATACTGAATATGTATATTCTAAACGATCATGGCAAACACTAAATTAACTGATGAATTGAGTTAACAACCAATGAGAGTTCAGTCTTCGGAAACAGTGGGAAAAACAAAAACTCAAAATGGAGCAAAGAGGGCGTGAAAATAGCAATAATAAAGTTATCTTAAGGTTGTAGGTGAATATCAGGAAAAAGTTAGGCAGAACTAGGGATATATAACAATGGTCTGATCGCTGTTACTGGTCTTAACCTAGGCTCGGGTTTCCTATTTTGTCCCTTGACTAAGAGGCTGAGAGAAATACCGAATCCTGGTCCTTACTAATGCTATTCCGCGAATTACTATATTTGAATTGATCCTACTGACAATTACAACACAACATTTGACTCATAGAGAAGATAAAGGGAGACTGCTGGTCCACACACCGCACATAATAAATTATTTTAGAGAAAGGTGTGAGGATTTGAAGGCGTAGAAGGCATAGCCAGGATTTCAGCGAATGAGAACAACAGACAGATGCTTTAAAGACACACTTTAAGGACACTCGTGATCCAATGGTTGTTGCTCTTATTCTTTTTGATTGGGATACAACAAACTTACGCAAAGTTTTGTAAGTCCTTGCTACAAGTTTAATCTATACATAACTACACTTACATTTGATAGTGGCTAGTAGTAGAGTTCAGCAGGCAAATTTTATTTCATTTCGAAAAAGGTAGACGGATGTACTTGCATTTCTATGTTGGCGACTTTAGTGAAACAGTAGACAGTCATCTTTTAGACTATATACAGACAAATCTAGTCAAACAAAAGTCATTATTCATTCATAATAAGGACTGGAGAATTTTCGTTTGATACTTTTAGTCTCCTGTCGAATTGCATGACCTCTGTTGGCGGATGGTCCTTTATGAGGATGTCTTGATATTACCGGTGGAAGTACGTCCAGCTGAGGAGTCACAAATAGGACGAAATGCGCGTTCTGGATTCCACTGCTAATTACCTAAATGAATACAATGGGTGAATTTCTTTCAAATCATCTGGTCATCATATTCATCAGTGTTTTCATCATCATCATCAATATCAACACAGGACCAGGCATTACTGCGTAACGGTCCGAGTTGCCACACCTCATATCAGTACATCAAGTAAAAAGGCAGTGAGGTGCAAGATGAAGATAGGAAAACTCAGTCAAAAGAAATATAGAGTACTATAAGAGAGGAAGGAAGGATGAGAAAATAGTGAGATTCGAAAAAGCGTTAAGATGAGGATAATGTATGTGCACATCTGTGCCACTCACATCGGTTCTGAGCCATATCATCTAGAGTCTCCAGCCACTGGTTTCTCTTGTCCCACAGACCCCAACCACCTAGTCTGCATCACCCCACATGGCTCAAACGAACAGTCAGAGACTTCATACATTGGTGCCATGTTTTAGTCTGGCCACCTCGAGCATTTTTCCAGCCTGGGCCTACTTCAGCCAACATTGTGTGACGAGGCAATCGGTGATTAGGCATACGTAGTACGTGTCCCAACCAGCTATCTCAGTCGATAAAGGTTCACAACCTCGTCAACCCATTTACCTCTTCTCCATAAAACTCTACTCCTGACGTCTGCGTTACTCACGTGGTGACATCACGCAATACGGCATATACTACAAAGGCAACAGTGGTCAAACACTTGAAGCCTTCTCATGTCTTCCATCTTCAATGTTCATGTTTCACAGCCATACAGCAGAACAGAACGGACTGCTGTGCAGTACACACCACCCTTAATAAACGAACAGATATCACGGCGGCGCCATAAGTGGTATAAGTTGGCAAAAACCAATCGAGCCTTTTGTATTCGTGCAGAGATTTCATCGGCCACTAAGCCATCAGGGTTGATCCTGCTTCCCAGGTAAGTCAAGTGGTCGACACACTCAACCATTTCATTCTCTACTGTTAGCCGTAGCACCGTTGAAGATCAATCCTGGAGCAACAATTTGCATTTGGGTGGTGAAAACCGCATCCCAAACTTTCCCAAATTGACACTCAGTGTCCAGAAGACTATGTGTCTTGTCAGCGTCTACACCTAACAGGACTATGTCATCTGCATATTCTAGATCTAAAGAAAATTCACCTGTGATTAAATCAACGTCTGTGTAATTAGGTGACGAGAGGGAGACCTCCGTAAGAATATCTATGATGAAATTGAATAAGAATGGAGACAGTGGGCACCCTTGACGGGCACCACTAGATGAGCATAGCTCCCTGGACAACTCACCATAGGCTCTAACATGCCCACAAGTGTTCGAGTAGAGAACCTTCAATAAGGTGATGTGCTTACTAGGCACGCCTTTCAGTGAGAGACATTGCCATAAGACTTCTCAACCAGCGGAGTCGAATGCCGTCTTCAAGTCGAGAAATAAGGCTATTGTTGGGCGTCAGTGAGCGTGTCTATGTTCCAGGACCCGGCACAGTGTGAATATTTGGTCGATACACCCGCGGCCGGGTCTAAAACTTACCTGATTTTATCTGGCTTGCTGTTCTTAAGCTCCACTCAGGCGTCGAGGAGTTATGGAACCTAGAATCTTAGACACTATGTTCGTCAGGCAGATTCCTCAGTGGTTATCGCGAGAGGACTTCTCGCCTTTCTTGAAGACTGGGATAATCAGTGATTCAGACCAGTCAGACGGGATCGTAGTTGATTCTGTTAACCCGACTAAGAGCACCTTACCACCATCCTTGTATACTTCTGGAGTTAGTCCATCTGGTCCTGCTGCCCTTCCTCGTTTCACGTTACCTACGGCTTTCTCGACACCTCCTAGTGTTGAGGGGGCCTATCTCAATGTTCCATTCAGGATCCGACTAAATAGCGGGTAACGTAATGGTGGCTGGAGGCCAGTTAAACTGTTCGTTGAAGTTTTCTGCCCATCGTCCCAACCGTCTTCCCTGCGAGTGAGTCACAGGTCCGTCCTTCTCCGCTATACCCCCACTAACTGCAGTTGACCTTTTCCCCCCAGTCTCCTCAATAGGTCTAAATAACTGTCTACTGTTACCAATCGTCACTGCCTCTTCCATCTCATTAGCCTTCGCTCCCCACCACTGTTCGCCATCGTTGCGTAGACTTTTTCTCAGTCTACTTTTGAGCTGTGCCTGCTCTTCGTTGTACCCAGAGCCTGCAGGAATGCATTCACATGCATCCATTAGTTCGAAAGAAGCTACTGATATCTACTGGCTCCTTTTAGCCACTATTTTGGAGTCAGCTACGGTCTTCGGCGCTGCTTTTACAGCAGACTAGAGATGGTACCAAGCTTCTTCTGGATGAGTGACAGTCTTTTGTTCCGGTAACTGCTTAGCCAACTTCTCACTGAACACGGCTTTGGTGTTTTCGTTGTCCAACAGTACTCGTAGTGGTTTTGTTGCCAAATTTTTTCTACGTCCATTGAGACGCAGGCATATGAGCACTCGGACCAACGCATGATCGCTGTCCAAACACGTACTCCAGAAGGAGCGGCAGTCTTCCACCGATCCTCTCCAGCGATGACTAATAGCAATGTGGTCTATCTGTGTCCATCGCTGAGATGAGGTCAGTGTACGCCACGTCAGACAGTGTTTTTGTTTATGTCTGAAATTTGTGCTAGCTAAAAATAAGCGGTTATCTGAGCACAGTTGTAGTAGGCGATCACCGTTATCTGTACGTTCAGCTGGGATTCCGAAAGTGCCACCTAAGTGCTTTTCTGCCTCAGTCTACCCACCTGTGCATTGAGGTCACCTGCAACAACCACCACGTCTGAACGTTTGGCTTTCGAAAGGAGGTTAGACAGTTTTCGGTAGAACTCGTCCTTCACTTCATCCGAACTACAGTCAGTGGGTGCGTAAGCAGAGATTACAAAGAGACAACGGCGAGTCTCACTATTCCTTTTAGTTCTCACTGTGCCGTTCAGCCTCATAGCGCAGAGGCGACTATCAACTGGGATCCAGTCTAGTAGTGAGTTTTCTGCCCTAGTGCTTAATGCTATGCCTACACGCGCAAGACCGCTAGGTATCGAATCTAGAGAAACTCGAAGGGTGAATTTTGCGGACTCGTCAGATTGGTCGGGAGGGGTCAGGTAAATAACCGCACTTAGGTCCTGTATGCATGTCTCACAGACACAGCACACATCCATGACCAGAGTTGCTAAAGTCTTTGCCAACGAAGCCTGTTGACCAACTTGACGGGGAGTGCGGAAATTGAAGGCACAGATGTGTAATTTGGAGTGTGGTTTCAGGAGACCAAGGATGCTATTTTGTGGACTCAGATCGTTATCGAAGGCTGCAGAGCTAGGGGAAATTGAAGATGATGTAGTATCGCCAGTTGAGAGACGTGAAGGAAGATTAGAAGGTAATGATGGGGGAGGTGGATAGCAGTCAGAAGAAGCTTGAGTGCTGATAGAGTTGTGAGGGCGGTTGACAGTTCATGGCTCCCCACACCGTGGAAGGCTATTTCTTCTTAAGGTACATGAAAGAGATTTATGTGACCGCAGAGCCCATCAGACATCTGCTTGAGACCTGTCACACGCAGCCTTTTGTGTATGATTATTTTGAACCTTTGAGTTTTTGGGGCCGGATGGTGGAAAGGAAACGACAAATGAACCAACACTGCCGGCTCGGCAGACCGTGGGGCATGGTGGAGTGTGTTGTTTCTGGGGCCACACTTTTCTGACCCCCCCTCCCCCCACCTTCCACTGAGAAGGCAGCATCAGCATAGCACTGCTGGTCATCCAAGGGAAACACCTTACTGCTGTCACACCCCATCCAGTTAGCAGCAGTACGACTTCGCCCTCAGACCCCTATCATAGTGTAGTAATTTACATCCCAACGGTAACTGCTTTTCGTCTAATCTCTATCCAACAGACCTTTATGGTATGATAGGACCTCGAGGGAACAAGTGTTCCACCAGCATAGCTCGTTGGGTCATTGTGATATGCAAGCCCGACCACCACGTCAAGGTAGCAGCTATCGGTCGGGTACCAGTGTTTCACTTACTTGAGTGATTTAATCGGTTTACACCTAGAATACAGTCCACATAACCGCCACGGAGTGTAGATAAACCTCACACTGAATTTTAACATTAGTCAAATGGTAATATGAACAGAATCGGTGATTTAAAAACAATATGACCTGCAGTATCATAACCGGTCGAGCTATACACATAATAACATAACGGTAACGCAAGTTGTGATGTTTTCAGTAGTAGATATATAAATCAAAATGGATGTCAAACTACATAAGAGATTTGTAAAGCACATTTTTACATAGGCATTATGAGGTATCTGGACAAACCACTCATGTAATCACATATACACAGAGGATATTTCAAGGAATACTATTCAGAGACTATTTACAATGTAACAGAGGAAAACTGGTATTACCATTTTATCGATAATTACGCTGTTCATGATATATTCACTAAAGCAAAAATCTATTGACTTACTAAATTTGGTGGGACACCAGTTACACGAGCGAACCAATATCCACTCAACTGACCGGCCATAACAACTTTCCGTTTAGAAGAACTATGTGTTTGGTATGCATAGCACTTACCTTAAGAGATAAAAAAAAATGAAACCAGAATCTAGTGTAAATAGAATAGAATAAACGGACATCAAGTAGGTTGTTTGAAGGCTCACTGAACTTTATTATAAGAGCTTGAAGTTATCTGTTGTATATGAACGATAAGGTAATTCAGTTTCACGTTACAATAGTTAAGTAGTATGATAGTCATAGTGACTGTTTGTGAGTTTAATCACGACATTATTTTAATAACTTGAAATGAAATAATGTAAAGAACATAGAAATTCTTAAAGTCATCTATAATCAGTTAATTTGATGAAGTACTATACCGAAGTGCATAACTAGCACAATAAGTGAGATTTAGTTATTTATTGATACTTGTAATTTCCCGCTGCTATACTGGGTCGAATTGTTGTTCCCATTACAAAATAATCAACATCCAGGCAGTATTAAGACCTCCGCACAGGAGCTCATCTGCTAACAGAGGTCGAGCAATTCGTCCATGTATGCCTCCAGGAAATCACAAGTATTAATATGCAATAACTAATACCAGTTGCACAAATGGTGGCTATCGTGCTCTAACCTAGACGACATATCAGAGTTTGGAGGGATAGGTACGGGGCTCGAGTCTCAGTTGGAACCACATCACTCATCGGGATTAGGTACACCTGGCTGACGAGTCCCAAACAGGACGAAATACACGTTCTGGATTCCACTGCTACCTATGAAATAGATTTAGAATGATACATTTGAAGTATATGCCTAAATGCCTTCACTGTGAAAGTTAATTTTCACTTTTACACAAAGATCGAGGTATTGGTTTAAAAAAATCCTATTTGAATGTGGACATTTTTTAAACTTTAGAGTAGATCAAACATCTGGCGGTACTCAATAAGAGTGACGAAATGTCAGTCTCCCCGTACAGTTAATAGTTCGAGCACTCTTGCAAATACATTTATTTCATTTGGTTTTACCATTTATGAGTATGCTGACAAAAAACAGACTGAAGAATAGTATAATGGATAGTGGGTAGCAATGGAATCTAGGATGCGCATTTCGTCCTATTTAGGACTCGTCAGCTGTATGTACCTACATCCCAGTGAGTGATGTTGTCCCACCGGGATTGGAACTTGGGAACGATGGCTTCAAACCCAAGAGCGTTATCCACTAGATCACTGAGCCACGATAGCCACTTCTTGTGCGATGAGTATAGTTTTGGTATAATTACTTGTATTATTCCGTCGTTGACTGGACCGGATTGGTCGGTCTTTATTGACATATAGGCTCCTGTGCGGATGCCTCGATATTAGCTATGTTTTAATTCCAGTAATAATAGAGGCAGGTACATCCAGCTGATAAGTCCCAATTAGGACGAAATGAGCATCCTGGATTCAACCTCTAGCCACTATCCATCATTACTAGAATTAAATCACAGGTAGTATCGAGGCATCCGCACAGGAGCCTATATGCCAACAGAGACCGATCAATTCGGCCCAATCAACAATGGTATAATACAGGCAATAATACTAAGATTGAAGAACAAATGAAAGTTTATTCAAATTATATAGATACGCTAACAATTGTGAAAAAAATTACAGACGGTGGTGAATCCTCTTGTAGATTATTTTATTTTCAATATAAACAATAGAATGAAATACATAAAAGAGTAAAATTTACATCGATTTCGTTCACATTTATCTCTTTTATTTACTAATCGCATATCTAATTAAAAAAAATATATTTTATAACTTTTTAACACTATCGGTTTGCGTTATACGTTGGATGGACGCGTGATCAAACTATTGCATATTATAAGTGACATACTGTACAACACGATTGTATACTGATCCGAGTTATCGAACTCCACACTAGGACATCGAAGGTAAGATTGAAAAACAAAACACAGGAATGCGAATAATAGAAAACAGTGCAGTTTAAAGTTTCCAACTATCACCACTTACAGATGTTATCAACACTTATCCAACATGTCTAACAACAAATATTTCGTATTTGGAACAAATAAAAGATGGAGTTTACAAAAAACCTATGAGTGATAAATAAATAGTTAGAGAAATTAAATATCCAACAGTTTCACGGTGATGACCAGACATATAAGAAAATAATCTATCATCGTCTAAAGGTTAAATCGTTAGAATAGGCTATAACATACTTGACCTGTATAATATAGAGAAGAGTTTCAGTATGTTATTACGTTTATAAATCTCAAACATTTAACAATCTGTCCTTATACCTAATATTTGGCTTCTATGTAAATGAAGAATAACAAAATAGGAGCACCTAAAAATCCAGACAAACTATACCATATATCAAACGTGACAGTACAACATAGCGAAACTAAAAACTACGATAGAGAGAAAATAGGTTCAGTCTGAAAAATGAGGTCCTGTAAGTGAGTCTAAACTAAACTAAACTACAGAAAGAAGAAACAAGTATCACATCAGTACTACACATATAATATTCCACTAAAAAAGTCCTGAGAATAAAATGTATAAAAAAAAACCAATATATTCATTTGGAGAAACTAGGAGATAAATTAGTATTGCAATACTAGCTGTTCGTAAAAAAGGCTTACAGTAGGAAAGACAAAAAAGGCAAAGATGTAACGCAAAGCGTGAACGATTCGGAAAACAATAGTAATGAACAAAACTAGAAAAAAAAATCAGTCTATCCTTTTTTGAAAGGAAATCTAAGATCTACGATTATCTTGTCATAGTCCATAATAAAGCATATGAAACCGAAACCAATCCACTTTCGTACACGCTTAATAAATTTATTTGTTCTTACAAACTCTGTTAAAATAACTAAGATTCATCCTAGTAAGAAAGTTATAGAGAGTGTGGTTTCACAAGAGGTGTCGAGATTCAATCATTTATCATAAGGATATTTACTTGCTCACTTCAGTACGGTTAAATCTGATCAACTTTAGGAAAATGAAAAAACAAGGCGCTGTTGTCTAATCACAGAGTATACAACAGTCAAGTCGCATATGCTCAATAAACTAGTAATGTTGAGGGTGGAAGTAAGCCTACATACAAAATTTATCGGGTCTTTGACGGCTGGTATACCTCATATATCATAGTTCAGCTATGTGAAAACTAATTATCTGGTGCCTTTATTTCCAGATAATAGTTTCTAGTCATCAACATTTAAAGCACTGAACGTTAACCCTGATGACACAAAGTGAAAGGAAAGAAATAGGCGTTCTATACTTGAGTCATAGTCACTAATAGTCTTACTAAAGTCATGTTGAGAATTCAATTTGTATCAAAATTGTTTAGAACTAAGTTTGTTATAATAATAATATATGTATCTTGATCAAGATTTGACCGGACAGTCTCACAAGTATTAGGCGCCGAGTAGAAAGTTGACATTATATAAAAGTTATGTCTGGACAAATCTCAGTGTTGGAAATAAGAAATTCCAAAGTTTCGCATGGAAATCTGGTTCGAGCTTTTTCAGGGAAATAATCAAAATTTACATTATCTTATATATATATATATATATATATATATATATATATATATATATATATATATATATATATATATATAGGTCGAAGATTTTTAGTTCCTCTCATTATCCAATTGTGATTGGATTATGATTGTTTCTCGATGGGGATATTATCATAATTCAGTCATGATTGGACAATGAGATTAACTAAGATTTTTCGACCTGTTATATATATCTACCATAATGTAGATTTTGATTATTTCCCTGAAGTTAGAACCAGGCTTCCATGCGAAACATTGAAACTTCTGATTTCAAACACACCGAGATTGGTCGAAATAAAATAATGATAATAGTGAAGGTGCTATTACTACCATTACTACTACTACTACTACTACTACTATTACTACTACTACTACTACTACTACTACTAATAATAATAATAATAATAATAATAGTAATTTGCTCTTCGCTTAACATGCAAGGAATAGTATACAGTTTAGTACTAAAAATTATATTATCCAAGTTACTTGAATCACAGCTTATTGCATAAATACTGATAACAGATGGTTATTGCTTTTTTTATAACTACATTTTCAGATGTTTGACCTTGTTATGAAATATTTAATCAGCATTATTTACAATAAGTTTCTAATCAGCTAGCATAAAATGATAACTAAATATAATCCAAAATTTGACCACGTACATTTCAACAGACGCATGATAATAATAATAATAATAATAATAATGAATTGGAAAGCTGAGGGGTCATTCAAACTAATATTACAAAATACAACAAGAATTGTTCACTAAAGTGATATTTATTATTCTACGATATTTAATGCATACAAAGAAATTTTTAAACAACTAACTCACAAGCGTTTCATAACATACAAACGAAACTAAAATACAAATGAATTGATGCCAGTGTATACTATCAGTAGTTAAATACGATCTTTATATTCACCAACTTTTAAACTAACAATTTGATATCTCAACCCTTTCCTAGAGTATACACTAGATTCAGTTAACTGAATAGCAAGTAAGGTTTAAAAATACCAGTAGTCGAATGAAGAATAAGATACTTTGCGATTAAATATAAAATAAACTAGATGATTTCGATTGCTAGTGAGTAAAAAACTTTCATCAGAATGATGATGCAATGAATAAAATAAAAATAAAGATTCATTTAGTGATACATGGGAATCAATTGATTCCAATGTAGTATTCATTACAGATTGATATCAGTTGGAGAATGATTGAAAACGTGGGAACAGTTGATTTGTCGTGGTACATACCTCCTTAGTAATACTCACCTAAAACTCCGTAAAGAATTAAGTAGAGTGAACTTCAGCATCTTCATAGAGGTTTACTTAGTAAAATGCTAGCCAGCTGTTAATGTTTGAGAGTTTGTGATAAGCCTAGATTTTCAAAACCGACTTAAGGGTAGAGTAATTCAAAACGATTTTGTAGTAATAAGCAGTCAAGAATCTATACCAGTGAGTAACAACCAAAAGAAATATTCTTGATTCGAAATTCAGACAGGAAGACGTCTTACGATTGCTTATCACATAAAAATGATAGACTTTCCAACCATTGTTACTAACCACAAGGTGTATATTTTTTTAACACCTCAGACCAACAGTTATATACCTTATGAATTGAAGCTATATGTTACAGTCTGGTGATTTAAGCGTTTCTTTCACTGAAACTCAAAAGGTATAACTGGTTTGAAACAGAAGGTGCTAAGGTATTCGTAATCCAAGTTCTAGAAACGTTATTCATCTCCATTCATCAAAAACTGTTGACTTAACTTCTGCATTGCGTACACATTGATTCTACTGCAAGATACACAAAGAAGGTGATAGTCGTGGGTCATATTTCATGACGCATAATACTGTGAAGAGTACTATCAAAATATAGTTGACTCTCAATAGGTGTTCAGATGCCTGTTCTACATGGGAGATGACATAGTTTAATAAAAGCCAAAAGCATGCTGTGTATGTTTCAAGACTTCGTCAGATTTTAATCCATCCTAACAGATGGGACTCTGCTGAGAAGTGTGACGAAAAAACAACACAAATACACATGAAGGACCAGGTACATACATCGGTTACCCATGGCGATCAATTCATGAACATTCAATTAATTCAATTTCTGAGGTTAAGTGGACTATAGATGCAGATGAGTTCCGAGGCATTCTTTCCGCTTAGAAAACGAAGCACTTATCCCAAATATTCTCGCTTTGTCCTACACTTTTAAAGCTTCTGCATCGAACAACATTATGTCGTTTGAATAGATTATTTTTCAATAGAGTAAAGGAATAAAACGCTCAAGCGCAAAATACTGACTCACACTTCATGTGGTGTGCAGTTTATTACTTTGGCACTAACTTTGTTCGTTGGAGTTTCAACACTTAGGTGTAGATATTTAAGAATGACTTGGTTCTTAATACACTGAGTATTAAATATACAGTGGTTTTTCAAATCGACCATGTGCAAATTCATACAACAGACAATGAGCCACATTTTTTAATTGAGAGCTAATAATACTACCTGGCTGCCTTAACCACGATAGGTGGAGTCACGATTCGAAATCGTAGCGCACTGATTGGAAGGCACAGTTTCGCAGTAGTTTGTGAATCCAGCTTGTTTGAGAAAACTAGGATGTAAGTTTCACTAATAGAATCATAATGACTATCTATTGTATTATTTTTCTGTACTCTACTAAGTGAGTATAATGACAACCCACATTTTGGATTATAACCAGAATTCATTTCAAAATATACAAAGAAGAGGCAGGTGATTATGATGCGATCAACCGATATTGATTCATTTAGTTGGAACATCGTTACAAGTTTAGTTACCTGTGTAAATGATAACCATTACTAAAGTATATCAATAATTGCTAAATAAGTTCACTCAACAAGCTATTCAGAGTTTATGTTTTGACATAAACCGAAGTAATGATTGAAGTGATTGACATATCTAATGTGTAAGGAAAATGTAAGTACACAATTTAAACTAAGAAAGAAAAGACTTAAAGGTTTTCAGGTATCCAGAGGGTATGAAATTGGTGAAAAGTATAGAAAATAAAAACATGAAAATATATTCTTTTTTATTCTAGCCATTGTATTTTTTAATGACAGAATCTCATAATTACCAAAACTCATTATCTATATTTTATTTTAGGTCTGTATCATGAAAATGAACAACCTGTAGAAGAAAGCTACTTTATAGATTTCATATTGTTTTTAGAATCGAATAATTTACAAACTACCAAATCTAATAGTTCGCCTGCTAAGACAAATATCGAAATACTTTTTCTCGACCGATGCTGTACATATAGCTAAAAAAGTAAAATAAACAATATTTTTCTTATTTTTGAAATGTATGAGGGATCGGAAAAGCAAGACAGGTTTTCATTGATCTGAAATCAGTGTGGAGATCTATTGCACTCAGCCCAAAGAACAAGATCCGGGTTAACAACACCAATTCAGTCAAGTCAGTGCTGCTATATGGTTCAGAAATTTGGTGCATCATGAAAAGCGCTCCCAACAAACTACAGACATTCATCAACAGATGCCGTCTACGCTCACTCGACAGTGAAGATCAGATGGCCAGAAAGAATAAACAACAAGGAACTCTGGGAACCAACCAATCAAGAACTTGTCACCCAACAAATATGCAGATGAAAGTGGAAATGAATTGGGCATACATTGAAGAGGCTGACTGGGAACATCACGCGACAGGCCAGGCCCTCAAGTGGAACCTAGAGGGGAAACGAGTTGAGCATCCAAGGGTGACATGGATGAGATCATGTGAGGAAGAAATGAAAGTTTGTGGACAGTAGTGGCGTAAGGTTCAAAAGACTGCAGAGAAGAGAGTGCAATGTAGGCGTGCTACTGAAGCCCTATGTTCCACTAGGAACCCAAGGGGAAAACAATAATAAATAATGATACAGGGAGAAAGTAACTTACCTGTCCATAATTTTGAATCATATGTAACACGAGCTTTCATAAACAGCCTGTGAATTTCCTCTTTCACTTCAGTCCAAGAACGCTTAGAATCATCTGTATTACAAACCATTTGACTGTAAACAGGTGAATCACTAGTTAACGCCCAAGACAGCATATCAAGTGTAGCGTACAGACAGGCAAGCCAAAGACCACCGGTATATGCACTAGAAAAAGAGATAGCGACAAACATACAACTTAAAAACACAGATAACACATTAGGGTAAACGAAAAACTAGACTGATCGGTTAGAATTCACAAAAGAATTCCAAGTTACTTTTCAGCAACTAGTTGTAAAAAGAATTAATGCAGTGATAACCCGGTGTCTTCTGCTTAGGAATTCTCATCCAAGATCTAAAAAAGTGGCTACTTAGGTAAAGTACCAGTTTAGGTTTGGTTAACAAGTGCAAAAAGTTATTGAAGCATAGTAAACTCTTCTTTTCAAGGTTTAAAATGCAGAAGAAATTCAAATCAGGTTGACTCCAATCTTACTATCTTCATCTTTTAAACAGAACACCAAAAATGGAGAAAGTTATCACTGCCTTGAGCTTAATATGGTATCCAGAACATTAATTAGTATATTAACAGTGATAAGCTTGTTTCACAAGTTCTCCATCAGCTTGTATTGCCACATGGACTTAAGAAAACTAAATGGTTAACCTTTGCCTTGTTTCCAAAAACCAGGAGAACTAATTTCAATAAGTTCCCAAATTATTTGTTTGGGAGATACATTTAGAAATGAAGTTATCCGACTTTTTATAGTTGAAACTATTACTCAATGATGAGGATCCAAGGTCAAAGTCGTGCTGCTGGATGGACGAGTGTTACAGCATTAAGGTGTTTCCCATGGATGACCACTAAGGTCACGCTGGTGGTGTTTTCCCCATGGGTAAGATGGATTCGGGAAAGTTTGGGCCCAAATATACCACACTTCCCCGTAGCCTGTAGTATGGGTTGATAGGTGGATTCGAAAAAAAGCAAACTAAAACGTCGAAATTCTAAATAGGCCGTATGCAGCAAACCTTAAGCAGATGCTCCTTTGGATCTACGGTCACACAACACTACTACTTATCCATTTTTTCAAGTACCTCAAAATGAAATGACCTTCCACAATGTGGGTAACTCAGAAGCTTCAACCACCCTCACAACTATGTCAGCACGAGAATCCCCTCTGATTACGACTAATCTTTCACCATATCTCAGACAGTATTCTGACACCATATTTAATTTCTTCCAGTTCTGCAGATTTTGACAATGACTTGAGTACACAGAAGAGCACACCTAGTCTCCCGAAATCGTGCTCCAAACCATATGTTAAACTTACCAATGTCCACCCCCACAATCAAATTGTACAATAAGCGTCATTAACCAAAACTCTAGGATCTCAGGCAATGGATGTGTGCTGTGTTTGTGAGACATACGCATAGAGTACACAGGTGAAGTAATTGACTAAGTCCACCTCAACAGTATGAGTCTGAAAAATCCACCCTCCTAGTTTCTAGAGATTCAATGGATAATTCTCAGGAGACGGTAATCTAAACTTATCAAAGAAACTGATGTGAAAAGGTACATTGATAAGTGAGACCAAAACAGAGCAGGATGGGTCGGTGATTTACTCATAAAGTATACATCGAGAATGGTAGGCGGGATACTTGAAGGAACAGTTCGATTGGCCTCCAGCGACTATTCCGTTGCCCACTGTCTAGTCGAATCCTGAATGGAATATCGACATAGGGCCCCCAAGTCCTACAAAAGTAGGGCAGGCCTTTCGTATCCATACAGCAATTTCATCAGTCACTGGGTCATCAGTGCTCATTTGACTTCCTAGGTCGTCAACGCGCTCAACCGCTTCAATCCCAATCGTTAGACAAGGCACCAACGAAGACCAGTTGTAAAACAACAAATGATATTTAGGTAACCAGAAACGCATACTAAACATTCTCAGATTGTCACTCAAGGTTTCCACAAGACCCTATATCTTGTCAGTGTATTCACCTAACACGATTATGCCGTCTGAGTACTCTAAATTCCATTAGGAGTCTTTTGTGACAAAGTCAATTCCTGTGAAGTCAGACGACAAGAGGGAGGCCTCCACAAGCATATCTAGGACAGAGTTGAATATGAATTGAAAGAGCGGATGTCGTTGAAGGATACATTCAACATACATAACCCTACTGACAACTCACCAAAGGCTCTAACACGTCCAAGGATGCTCGAGAACAGGGTTGTGTAATTACTCAGTACACCTTTTGAATAAGAAACGCTGCCATCAGACTTTCGGTAGATGGAGTCGTGTACTGCCTTCAAATTAAGAAGTGTAGCTAACATTAGGTGTTGGTAAATATGCCTGTGTTCCAGAACCTGGCGGAGTGTCAAAATCTGGTTGGATACACCCACAATTAGGTCTAAAAGCTACTTGGTTTCCTTGCGTTTGTTGTTTCTGAGCTCCGTCAAGACGTCTAAGGAGTATAGAAAATTACGGAGACTACAGACATGCAGCGGAAAATAGGTATTATGACATTGAAACAGTTGCCTGTTTGTTCATGGTCCAATATTCTGGGTAGTGCGATTCCACTTTCTATATTGAGATTATTCATTTCAAATAAGCATCTGTTAATAATATAGGCTGCTGGACCAATACAATTGTCGAGAGAAAAGTTACTCAGTTTGCTCAATACTTCACTAATGTGAGAAGTTTCACTAACCTAAGTAGATTAGTAGCTGGTGTAATCTGCATTTTACTCTTGACTAAATATGCCATCTCTGATGTATGTTAGATAGGGAGGTATTATTAGCGTATCACGGATAGTACCTTCATGTTATGATACATAGTATCACACGTGTATTTAGACAATTACATTAGATGAACATGGAATTAAGTCAAAAAATTCAATAGAAATGAACCTGTAAACTGCAGGCAAAATTAGAGTTTATTGAGAAATATTCTCTCTCTTAAAAGGGAACAATAGACAGTACTATGAGAAATAAAATGCATAATTATTACAGATAATAAATACCATTTAAACGAGTAATCATTCTGAGTAATATCAAGAAATTAGTTACAAAAAGGATAGGTTCAACCGAACCAACCTTAAGCCTTTCGCAGACCATGTGTCATATGTTTGATCAGGAAATCCGGAATTCTCAATTATTCCATCATTATCAGAATCCCAAGCTCCTAGAGATTTTCTAAGGATTCTCTACAAAAAAATAAAGGATAATGTACCGTAAAATTTGACCTATTAAAAAGAACACAATTTTTTTTTAAAAGAAAAAAAGTTTAAACTAACACCTTCAGAGTCGCTTTTAAGTAATAGTAAGGTGAAAAATTGTTTAAACTTTAAAATGGTAACTATCAGTCAATCAATGAGTTATTACTTAGTTGTTAGGTGACTTGTTACGATATGAATATCCAGCTAACTTCCCTAAACACCAGAAAGTGCATTTAAAAGGTCTGATTAGTTATAAAATCTGCATATAGTTAGGTAAGAAACTGCAGTTTCGTTTAAGAACACAATTGTCAGTCTAATATAGTTCTAGACACGAAAACGTAGATCTACACCTTAAAAGTATAAGCAAATACTGGGCAGTATGTTGCAAGAGACATACTGTCTAGAAGCTTTTGAAAATGACCAGTTATATTTGAAAATACTGCATAAAGAATCTATTGACTACTTTACATTCCATATCAGAATATAACCAAATTTACCGTTCAAATCAATAATAATGAATCCAGAGAATAAGTAATCGAAAGTCCGACAGAAACCAACCTCTTTGAACAATCAATCAGTTTTGAGTACCTAAGAATAGATAGTCCACTTATCTGTATAAACTTATAACCTCTGATAATATTAATTTTGTTTCAGATTATCCATTAATATAATTATTTTAATGATACTGAGTGATCATTGAAGTTGAAATGAAAATTTGGACCGCACCCGGATTCGAACCAGTGGTAGTCGAGCCAGCGACTACCGCAGGATACCCCATGGCCGCTGGTTCGAGCCCGGCCGCGGTCCAGATTTTCAGTTCACCTTCAATTATCACTCAGTATCAATACAAGTCTGGCAAACCACGGATGTCTCATATAGTCATAATAATAATAATAATTTTAATTCTCCATTAGTTCTCTGACTTTCCTCCCAATCTGAAGCACTGAAGGAAAAATTGATACTCTGCAATATTGGTATTATAATGTTAGGAACTGGGTCAAGAACACCTACTATAAATACGATCTATACCATGATGGTTGGGTGGATATTTGGTTTGATAGCGAGCTTTCGTCGGCTGTATTTCCGCTCAATAACGATAGTCTAGTTAAAAATTTTAACTGAAACTTTTGTCATGTGCTTCAGTTCCCACGATGCGACATCCCTAACCACGCATAGCAAATGGATATCACTATCTGAACGGACGAACTTAGTGTACCATAGAACGCTGTTATTGGTCGACCATACAAAACACTTTGGTGTATATGTGTGTGCAAAGTAATAATAAATCTGGTTTCCAAGTTTTAAAAGATGGTGTGTATTTGTATTCATAATGCATAACTTGGACATTGACTGTATAAAAACAATCAATCCGAGCAGCAGCAGCAGCATGTTATTTGAACGAGACGCTTAGTAATAACTCTTAACAATGAGACCGAGTAGGCATATGTTTCTAAAACTATTCTGTCTACATCTAGGATTGTCCAAGCACCTTAGCTGCACATTGTATACAATATGTTTCCCTTTAAAGTCATCACCATTGAAAACCTATTCTCACCATAGTCTGATTATTTTCTGAACCCAGAGTAAGTTTACTTTTGGAGGGTAATCTTAAAAATAACAAAAATCGTTGACAGCTTTTTCAGTGAACAATTGGTTTATAATGTACACATAACTAGTACCTATTTCATAAAAATGTAAAGAATTTGAAATTTCACGGGAGAAACATATTCTAGAAGAAGTTCATATTCACAGTGATTTCAACAGTCGGGAACATTGATGAAACGTGCGGAATCATTCACTTATGTGAAACATTATATCCTCACGAGTTTAGCCTTGAAAGTTGTAGTGTATGAGCAAAGAAGGTACAGTTGGAATCTACCATCATATACTAGTTGTTTGAGCGAAATCGACAAAATCAACAGTTATCAGGAAGTGATTGCTACAGTTGTAACATAAACGTTTTGCATAAGTATAGAAAAGTGTACTCAATTTAAGCTTTACAGTTTTTTTGAACTACATTCGCAGTTGGAAAGGTCACTACCGTTTTCTGATTCTCCTAGTCTAGTAAGACCTTTAGAATGTTCAGAAAGCTAATCCCCCTTTGTTAAACATAAGGTGAACATCCAGTTACCACCGTCAGCATGCATCAATAACTTTTGAAACAATTTCAGTATACATAACTAGATGTCTATCAGATATTTTTATAAAGATACCAGATTTTCTAATATTGAATAAGGCGTTTTCAAAATTATCAAATTACGAATTTTCTGCTTATTGGGTAACTAAGTAACAAAAGTGGAGGTTTATGTACTTTACTATGATCTATATGGAGTATGTGAAGACGTATGATATTATAGTGGAATATTGAACAACTTGAAAATTCTTTATGAAGTACAGAAGCCTAAATAGAAAAAGAAGTGAGTTATAACAGTTTACTTAAACTTTGTCATTTGATTAAGATTTTATATTTAGCGATTAACCGATAGATTCACAACTGAATATTTAATCAATAAAGTTATACACTACACCAGTTGCAAAACAGAATGGTACTGACAAGAATTTATAAACTCAGGTTGGCTTCAGGAGAAAGAAAATTGTAATTGAAAGCTTGCATTCATAATTAATTCTGAAACTCAGACAGAGAAATATAGACAGAGAACTCAGGCACTTCAAATAGTTGAATCGAGACAACGTATCTAGTCAGAAGCAATCGAGAGCTTAGAAAATGTTCAGTATCCGCTATCAGACGTAGAATTTATTAAAATTTTTGAAACAAAGGTTGAAAATGAGAACTTTTCCAATGAACCATAAGATCAACCATGAATATTCATCTAAAGGCCGAAAAAAAAATTAAAATTAGGTGTTAGAATCTAGAGGTTGGATTTAAACAGTCAGGCTTTAGCTTTCAAGGTTTACTACTGAGTTATGAAATCATGAAGCAGGGAAAAGCCATTTCTAAAAAGAGAGGGTACTCTGACTTTTTCTGGTTAATGATATTATAGGGAACGTTGGACTATTGGAAGCAAAATGTAAAGGTTTCGGAAGTTACAGTAGACGCTATGGTTAAGAATAAGGGTGGACACCAACGTGAATCACTGATTTCCTGAACTTGAGTCTGTAAAAAACGGTGAACAATAATCTGTTGCATAAAATGATTCCAGAAAGTTTAATATTTTGTGATTTCACCATATGTATCCTTAAATAATATAACGAAGATAGTTATCAGTCCTATGGACACGTAAAGCTCATCCAGAGAGTGGATCAGAGACGAAATGACTTTATTATTCACCAGTTCTATCACCTGGCAGTTTGATAACAAGAACATAAACACATGAATTTACAGACGAGTGCAATGTTAGTCATTTTAATTGAGCAAGAGTAACCTATAAGATTGAATTAACGCTTTCAAATATGTTTAGATACTTAATGTAGACTTCTTACGCATACAGACACGATACATTACTCAATTTGTCTGACACATATCTACCAGATAATCGACGTTCAAGCCATCTCAATCGTTCCTGGTTCTAAACCCCATCAACTGATTGACCTTCCTTATCTGATGCACTTTGCTTGACCTCGACACTGCTTACACGGTGATTCCACCATATGTAGGCAATTTTATGAAGACAATGACGACCTAAGACCTGTAACCTCTTTATGATCTACTTTTAACACCCATGTCTCAGCCGAAAAAGGATATCCCGCCAACAGGAACGGTGACAGCGGGAACCCTTAGTAAACACCACTATTAGCCGTCAATTCTCAAGACAACTCTTCATCACCCGTTACACAGTTGTGTGAGTTCGATAGGAGAGGTTTGATGAGCATTATGTACTTTCCAGGCATTCACTTCACAGTCAGACACTGCCACAATACCACGCGGTCGACAGAGTTGCATACCATGTTCAGGTCAATAAATATGTGTTGGGCACTGGCCGGTAAGTATGGTTGTGTTCTAGAAATTGACTGAAGGTGAAAACTTGATCAATGCACCCTCGTCGGCGTATTAAACCTGCCTGTCTTCTCCAGTTTACTGTTTTCGAGCTCCAGTTAGAAGTCGGATTATCAAAAGAAGACTTATGCGCTTTGTTGAAAATTGGAATGGTCAACCGTCCAGACCAGTTTGACAGGGCTACCTCTGATTTTAACGCACTATTTAGTACCTCCGTTATTCCACTCCGTAACTGCTTACCACCATTCCTAAAATCTCGGAGCCCCAAACCGTCAGATCTAGCTGCTTTGCACCATTCCAAGATTCAAATAGCGTTCTCAAATTTAATGAGAGTTGGAGGACTGATACCTACGTTCCATTCAGGTTCAGGCTGGATGTTGGGCAAGTAAAGCGTTACAGTGGATCGGTCGAAATATGCTCCAAAGTGTTCCGTTATGTTCTGTCTATTCTGAGCGGTTATCAGCGTTCCATGCTTTCAGTGATGATTTTACTAACCATCGTTTTCTTCTTGCAAGTATCCTTGGTAAGCCTAAATAATTGCCGGGTGTCATACGAAGCTAATACCTTTTCCATCTCGCTCACTTTCGTCACTCATCACTGCTCGCGATCATTGCGAAGATTCTTGGTCAACTCAAATGTAAGCCAATTTTGCTCAGTCTTCTCACTTTAATCAGCTCGGATGAGGTTGTCGAAATCCAATGACGTTTCCCAACCCCCGGGTGTAGTCTACCAATTGTCTTTACTACTATTTCTACAGCAGACCTAATATTACACCAGGTTTTCATAGGACCAGCATTGCTGTCACGTTGAGATTAATACCTAACTATCTCCTTTTTAAGTATGTACTTCCTGTTCCCAACTTTCAATAGAGCACTCACAGGCAACTGCAGCCTGTCATCTGAGACCAGTAAGGCCCAGACATATATGAGCCCGACCAACACATGTTTGAAGTTCAAACGTATGCTCCAGAAAGAGCGACAATCCTTTAACGATCTTTTCCAACGATGGCTTACACCAATGTTATCTACTTGTG